TCTTTTAAACTTCAGTTACATAGGGAAAACAGTATCACAGTCAGTTTTCTCACTCAGCAATTTGTCTACTGGGACAACTGTGAATATTACAGAAATAATGGCACATATTACACAATGAATTCCTCATGACTATGCTTTCTTGAAAAGCAGTATCATTTTGCAAATTATTCAGATAATTACAGAGAAGACTTGCATATAAAATTAAGTAATACTTTCTATATAATGACTAGCATAAATGACAATTTAATGGGCTCTTCCAAAAGCAATTCTATAGCATACAATTTAAACTGAAGATTTAAACAAAACAGTACATATTTTTCCATCTGTAAATTAATACCTAAAAATCCGTTCTAAAACTTGTGCATTTAAACAGATTCTTTTGAATCAGGAATTTCAAAATTCTCCAGAGCAAATTGTCAGTACAGATGACCAGGGGTCCCTATATTTATTAAACTGAATGACCTGACAGTAAAACTCAGTTAAGGCTCTTGGCATTGGTGAAACTTCTTCCCACTCAGACCTACTACTGTGGTAGACTTGAACTTCATCTGTGATTTCTTCTGGAGCATAATCACCACCTAATATATAAATTTTGTCTTCTGTCCCAACTGCTCCTGCATTAAAGCCAGCACATTCAAAAGATCCTTCCCCTTTCCAAACACAGGTTTCTGGGCAAAAGCTGTAGACCTTGTAGGTGGAGAGATCACATATGTACAATGTACAGTTCACTGGAACAGCTTTGATTAGAGTTGCATGGAAAAATTGCCCAAATTCTGCTACAAGCTCAGACCACTGATCAGTCATAGCATTATACTTAAAGAAACAGTCAAGAGATGGATTAAAGGCATCAGTAATCTCTACTTCTGAGCCAAGGACGTAAATTATATTCTGACATGCACTTGCTTCTGGATAGTAGATACCTCTTGGCAATTGGCTTATAGATTTCCAGTCTTTGGAAAGAGGATTATAGGATTCTACATCCAAAAGACTTCGGGTTTCTTGAGCTCCTCTGGTCTTTCCACCTATTACAAACAGCTGATTTAAGGTTACAACAGATGTGTGCATTGTCCTTGGTTTTTTCATAGCTGACACTATGGAGAATTCATTGCTGACTGGACAGTAGCACCAGGTTTGGTCAGTGGCATCATGAAATGGTTCAGCAATATGAAGCCTGACAGTCCTATAACAATTCCCTTTGCATCCTCCAGTTAGAAATATTTTTTCTCCATAGCTAGATAAACTTGACCCTGGAAGATCAATCATGTGCGTGTGTGGTAGTTCTTTCCATTTATCTGTTTTGATGTTGTAGCAGAATGTATGTCTGTTTTCTCCATCTTCATCAGTTTTATGAACAAATATATATTTTTCTGTTGTTGAAGGACGTGCATCTGGAAACAGTCCACTAAAGTTTTGCACACTTTTAATTGCATCATTGATTATTACTGAGCAATTAGCACTCTTAAGTAAGTGTTCTTCAGAATGTAGAAAGTCCTGCAAAGTCTTTTCAGGTAACTGGTGTAGTCTCACTTTTTTAATCAAATTTGGCAGATATTTCTGTCGTGTTTCTAAGTTGTGTTTAGTCCACTGAAGGACAGCTTTCAACACTGATTCTTCCTCAGGGACATTTAGTTCGTCAGCCTCAAGACATTTTTGTAATATCTCAAAATTAATCTCCAAAAAATCACTTGATCTGAGCAGCAAGGAGAAGTGGTGCTGTACAAAATCTAGCGCATGATCAAATAAGCGGACGGAACCATAACTTTCTGATAGAGAAAGCAACTGTAAGCAATTCACAAGATCAATACTTTTTATTAGAAAGTCACTGCAAGCTTTGGAAAGGAGTGAAACTTGAAGAAATGACGACAGTTGGAAGAGCATTTCCACATTATCATTTGTTATCTCTGTTTTTCCTGTGTAAGCATAATCAAGAAAAGCTTTCACTGCCTTGGGTGATAGATTACTAATAGTAACATTGCCATCATCTCGTTCTTTCATATTAACTTCAAACATGGCTCTGTGAATAAAATATAGAAGATATACACACAAATTAAAGATCTAGCAAACAGCAGAGAACACTGATGTGAGAGGAAGGAGACAATCAGGGGCGTATAATAAGGTGGGCAGGCTGTATAGGTCTAAAATGTGGAGGTTCTCATAAGTAAGAACAATGCATTTGCTTGATATGGTTGAAGAAAAAAGGAGTGGTGATAAGAACATATTCAAAGTGATGGCTCATAAAAATTACAGCAGCACCTGTGTTTTGTATGGATTTTCACAGAGCGGGATGAAGTCTGCAGCTCTCAATGTAAGAGAAAATGTGAAATTGTTCGAGGCAGCATCAGTTTCAACAGCCTGAGAAAGAAAGGCTGATTTAAAAAATATATAGTAAAAAGCCCCGTGATTTAGGTCATGCACTGTGGATGAATACAGAAAATTAAGCAAAAAATTGCAGGCTGAGCAAATGGCAGGATGGATGATGGGTGCATTCCTCAGTAATAAAAGTAGGTGAGAGGTGAAAGAGGAGAAAAAAACATGAGGAAACTTAATTCTTGCTTTAGAGTTGACAGATAGATGTATGAGTACAGGCAGATGTCAGAAAAAAATGAGGTTTTGACATAGGATTGCATGACAAACTTGTGCAGAAAGTAGATTGTGACTGAATACAAAGACCATGGTTGAAATCATGGAACAAACTATTGATCAGTGGATTTGTGCAAATTTTATTACAACTTTGACTACTTTATTACTAAATATGTAATAACATTTAACTATTTCACACAATCTAACATGGCAAGATAAAATAAAGTTTTTCAAGCCAATAAATGCTGGCAACAGAATAGTGCTGCACATCACTTGCCCTACCCTCCCAGAGCCTAAGCATCAGGCTGTGATAGCAACGGCTTCTGAATTTGACAAAAGATGATAGTGGAGAAAGATTTAGATGAATCATCAAATACTAAGTATGTAATCTGGATTATTAATATATCATAGATAGTTCCTATTAAAAAAGAGTATTATATCATAGTTCAGTTATACAATTAGTATCTGTATAGTATGTGATTTTTAAAATCCCATACTTTTATGAAGCCAAAGAGAAAAAAAAAGATCACTGTGCATAGCATACTCTTTGGGAAATGAACATCAGGTAGAGCAGGAACTTGTCTGACCTCCTGAACAAGAACATAAAATTACAGTAAGACACTTACGTCCCAAAGACCTTTTTGCATACTAAATGACAATCCTTAGAATCCTTTCCTCATTAACCCAAGAGCTATGATACAAATCTCTAAATTACAGAGTAAAATAGCAACTGAACAATACTAGTAGAAGAGAGCAATCTAGGCAAAGGCTTTGCTTCTAAAAGCTAACAAGTAGGGAGCAAAATGTTGCTGAATCTTGGGTTTACACAATGAAACCAAAACTAAGAGAAGTCCAAAGGCCAAGGAAGACAAAAGGTGTTTCATTCTAAAATTTATCTAGTGGACCTAAGTACTTTTTCTTCCCTGAAGGTAATAAATAGGCCTTGCATTCCAGGACAGCTTATGAATTTGATGGCTGCTGTTACCAACTGTTACATGCAGGGAGAGGTCTCTCCTGGCAAATTTTAACCTGCAGAGCCTGTAGGTAGTGAAAAGGCCACACGTTACCATGTGCTTAACTTCAGTTCTAAAAATTACCACTGGAAGCTATTTCATCCTAATATTCCTTTCTACCAGAGCATCTCTGTGCTGTCAAGCAGTAAACATTTGAAATGCAAGTAGTTCTGTGTGTTAGAGAAAAAACAAATGTGCTGCTACAGTGGAGAAATAGCTTATTTCACCTGCATTTCTTCTTTTTTCAGTAGTCCTAAGAATACATCTAGTCTATGTCCTCTGTCATATATGACAGACTCCCATAAACCATAGGATGCTCCAGGCCATTTGAAAATCACACTTCTCGCCTACGTATGGGCAACTGAATCAAGCTCATTAATTCATTTCCAGAAGCCCATTTTTTCATTTTAGAGCATCTTAGCTTTGTGTTTTAGTAAAGAGTGTATTTGGAAACAGACTTTCAATGTGGAATTGCAAGTTTGAGCCTTACTAATAAAAAAGTTAGCAAGGTTCTTCATAAATTAATATCCTGTATGCGAATGATCTGTCTGTCCCTTCAGAATGCATAGCTTTAAGCATCAGAAGGAAGATTACAGATCCACTTCATGCTGAAAGGCTGAAAACTGTAGTTTACAAAAAAATAAGCTGTTTAAATACCTCTGAAGACAAACTCTACTATACTGACCACTCATCTTAGAGAAACAAAATCCAGCCCCATTCCAAAACCATGTACAATTTATCCGCAATTGCTCAATGCAAGATGTATTTGTAATCAACCTTCTATGTTTCACAATATAAATGTGTCACAGTACATAGACCGTCCCATGCAAAGTCAAACACTATCCTTGCAGACCTTCAAGTACAGATATAGGCAACAGATAAGTCTTAAAGATACACAACTTGTGTCAATTCTACCTAACAGCAGAACCATGCACTTACGGTTTGACATTTGTATTTCAGAGTACAGACTGCTGTCTGAATCTCAATCATAGAGTCCTCATGTCACTTTGGAAATACAAACAGATGTATTTGGGGTATGGTTATGCATCTAACACTGTAGTTTTGGTTTTGTTTTGGTTTTTTTGCTATCCTTAATATGATGTTTGAAAACTTTGCTCAAAACTCTGCAGACATATGTAAGTTGTGATGACTTATTTTTTAATTTTTGTAATTATATTCCTTCTCTCCCTCCCAGAGAACTTACAATCCATTTCCTGCAAACTCATGCCAAAATTAGGTTTACCTGAAAAAATCACTGCACGCTGCCAGTACACAACGATGACAAGGAATTATTTCATCTTTCACAAGAATTTTAAAGTCAAAAAATATATTTTGTTCTCTGAACTTCTGTAGTACTTTTAGAATTTGTTGTCCATGACCTTCAGCCACTAAGGAATTGATTTTATTTTCAGGTACAGAAATTCCATTGCAAATAGGTCTGCTAATGTAATCCCGTTGATTGGCCATGGTTTCTTCAATCTATTCCTGAAACTGAAATGGAAAAATAATTGATTCTACAGTCTTGCTATTGAAAAAATAAATAAAACAATGTACCATAAAACAAACAAAAAAATTCCCAGCATTGAATTTGGTTTGTAAGTCCTATGCACAGTTCTAAATTTGTGTTGTAAGTGACTTTTACACTGAATTTGATAATAATACTTCTACTTTGCAAAATATATACACATAGCATACTTTGAAAAGTAAAATATCTGACATGTATCAAAGAACAACTCTACAAATAGTACCCACCTGTAGGAATTTTTTCAATCAAGTCCACAGGAAGCACACCAAGGAGTGTGTTAAAATTTTTAATGGTCATTTAAGAGAAAGACTAGTCCTAGGCTTACCCTCAAAAAACCCAAACTCTTACAATTTGATGTAAAATGAAGATGGAAAAGGAAAACTTTGTTACATATTTTTAGATTCCAAAAGGCTGACCTGTATACTACAAACCCCCAAACTCAAAGCAGACCAATGGTCTTTCTACAGCTTACAGTGGAAGGGAGACACAGGCTACTGGACTACTTTCTAAGTGGATTCCCATTAGGCATTCCGGACTAAAATAACAGAATACAAACACACACTGACAGCCTGGCCTAATCACAGGATTGCTAGGGCTTACCAAATGGGGTCATTTAGAGACGGTTTGGTGACAGTGCAACTTTGAATGTTTAGTCAATTGATACTGATTTTATCTTGGACCTCTAATCTTGCTATGAAGCTGTGTGTTTGCTTACAGCTTATGCTGCATGCTGTGAGCTTCATTTACAGTGGTGTGAATTAACTGGGTTCAGAACCGATTTAAATTTAAGACAGTACAATCTCCCTTTCAGCAGCCAACTTTTTCCGGTGAAAATCCCTATACTGAAGTGCACTGTTTGTATGGTAAGTTGGGCTTCACTATTTTTTACATTAAAAATATTCTACACCACTTTGACAACAGATAGAAACTTTAAACATGAGTATATTTTATTTATACCTATTTAAAGTGCTATTTATACTGCTACAGATGCATAAACTGCCCTTACTGCAAATTTGAGTCAAGCTTGCCTATTTTAAAGCTTAAGGAAACATTCCAAGGTTTTTCTATTGCAGGATTCTGCTTCCACAATTCCAATTAAAATTAGCAACAGATAATGGCCCACCTGAATTGACAAAGAAGGGATAAAAAATTCCAAGCCAAACCCAGAAACCAGAAAAGTATTGCTTTTGGTTTTTAATTTCATGAAAAGGCTTATCTGATAATGTGATACATTCAGAGCAAACTAAGCCATCAGGCAGTCTTCTTCATGGGAGGTACTGTCATAGCAGACTGAGCTATACTTTATCTAGTCAGGTAGCTCCAACCACAAATAGACCTCCATGTCTCCTGGAATAGAAGAGATCCACTGATCTTGCTGCCAGCACTGGCACACTTGGAGCAGGCATCTTCTCCTTCCCATGGCCAGACAATCTCACGTATTCACTCTTTCCATTCTAAGCCTGAGGAACTAGGAAAATACAGAAGAACAAGACCACCATTTATTCTGATAGTGTATGGCCTCATAAACCCCAACTTTCATAAATCATAAAGCTTTTTTGTATGTCAGAATTCTCTAGAATACCCTTTTCTTATGAACTTAAAAGCCTGTTGCTCAAAAGACTGAATCTTCAAAAGCGGAGTTGTTTCAGTAAAATTAGTGTCCCACATTTGAATGAAACTTAAAAAAAAGTAAGAGAATTTCAAGGTTTATTTGGCATCATGTAAAGTAATACTTCTTCTAAAGGAAATGTAAACCTTTTCACAAAATTCTGGAATTGATAATAGATAGTAGATGTATTTCTCCTTTTACACGCAATTTCTATAGCAAGCTCTGACCTACTACTTGCTTTCTGTAGGTAAAATTACCAATTTCAGTAATATTCATCTTTGTATAATGAACAGAGAAACTTCTAATGTCATCAAGTCCATCTCTGCTATTTTAGGCAAAGACATCCTATAATCACTTTCATAAAAGCATTCTATGTTTCAGAAATTTTTCTTTTACCACCACTATTTCCACAGAAAGACTATCCCAGTACATTGGTGCCAAGACTGCAAACCTTCTTTTAATTACACAATCGGTTTAGTAATGCTTACATATATTTGTTCTTCTGTCAAAATTGTCATTTGACTTGATTTTCCTTTGTATATTTATTCACTCACAATTATCAAGAGTGTTGATAGCCTCTCTCAACTTTTGTTAGAATGAACAATTGTCAAACTTTCCAAGGTCCATTTATAATACTGAATTTTTGTTTTCCTTATTATTTCTTGCAGTTTTCATCCACTCCAGTTTGATCCCATATTTCTTTCACTGATACCAGATTTGGTGTACAGCATTATGGTTAAGATCTCATCAGTGTCTCACTACTACAATTTGCAGGTCATCCAGTGCATCCTAATCCTAATCTGTAATAGCAGTGTCTCATTTTTTATTAAAAGCAAATTTTAGCAGTGTGCCTCTAATGTTTTTGTCCATCATTAAGGAAGATATTAATGAATACTGTGCTATGGCTTGGCCTAATTCACCCTCCCCTCCATTCCATTAAAAAAAAAAATATTAAAAAATTCAATTCTTATCTCCCTTGTAGCGAATTCCTGCTTTATTTGATAATTTTGGTACTAATTTACCACTTTACTGGATCTGTTGATGATTTTAGAGCCCTCCAAAATATCTTAACAATTCAGCTAAAACTTGGTATGTTAAATAAGCCCAACTAGCATTTATATTTCATGCATTCTTCTACAAAGCCATATGAATTAATCAAGTTATATTTATAAATATTTGATCAAGTTACTGACAAAAGGGTAGAAAACATAGGGGGTGCAGACATACGTTGCGTAGGTCTGGAGTTCAGGACAGCTGGGCAACGAGCCTCCTTGTATTTGCTCCATTTACTCCCACAGGATTCCAGTTACAAAGCCTGTCTTTATGTGGATTACCAAGAACCAAACTCCAGTAGAGGTTCATTAGAGTTGGGATCTCCTACTTTTGTTTCTTTACATACAGCTGTGTGCCATACAGCTTCTTATCATGGCAGGCAAAGGCTATATACTCAAGCTCTCTTCCATCATCTGACCCACCAGGTACTTGTGACTGGGTATTGCCTGCAGTGAGATCACATGTGTTCTCTGATGTGACCAAATTCAGGCTACCCTATCACTTGACAAAACTTCTCTGCTCGCATGCTAAACATTTACACATCTTATACTGACCAATGCCTGGTTAGCTATTACCCTGGTTTTCTAAAAAAAAAAAACCAACCTCCAAAACCAAACCACCTTAAAGTTAATACATTTGCCCTGTTTTTCTGCTTGAAAGTCACATCAAACAAGTGGCACGTTGGCCATTACAGTGAAATTCGATACAGACTTCAAAGTTATTAAGGTCAACCCCACATAATACATGCTTGGGAAGATATACATACCTCTCAAAGCTATCTGTACAGATCTCCAGTTGAGGGGCAAGGCATTCTGCACACCTGATAGTTAAGCGGCAAGAAATGGCCAGCCTATGTATGGCCACAAAGCAGCTAGCAGTTGAACAGAAGGAGGTTGGGGATGGTAAGGTAATTTTGGTCATTACGGTGGATGAACTAAGGGACCACCTGGGAGCTCTGAGGGTAACAGCGTTCTTACAGTCTGTCACAAAGTCCACTAATAAGGACCCAGACCTCATTAGTTCTGCTGTTCACAATAACCCTCTGTTTTAACACTGTCCTTTTCCCAAGACGATGAGGGATGGACCAGCCTAGAACATGATGAGCTCGTTGACACAGATGCCAGATAACCTCACTGAGGAGTCTCATAAGCCCATAGTCAAAATATGAGATATACACACATTCCTATTAGTAGTATCTAATCTATTGGTAAAAAGCTACAAAAAAAAATGTTTACCTGACCTTAATGCTTGTATACCAAGCAAACAGCTGCCAAAAACACTCACTAAATTTCTAGAGGAATTTTTTTACTTTACCAATGCTAATTTTCCCTTTCCAAAGACAGTTATAAGACATAACATAGTTATAAAGATTTTCTTTCAGCTGGTGCCATCAATAATCCTTCTTAGATGTACTTATAATTCTGTATGTGGAAGAAGTTGAAATGTGTTTATACTTATCCTTATCCTTTGGAAAGTCCAGCTGCCCTTTTCAGTATCAATTTCATAACCTGGATTTTTGTTGAGTCCTAGATATTACACTAAGAGACTGTAAACACATCATACTGTTAAACTTATATAGGAGTCTGAAAACATCCAGGGCAGTCATTTTCAGAATATCTCAATAGGCATACACTAAGATCATAACCACTGTAATATGCCTCCTAGAAATGGTGTTCACATCCATTCTACCAGATCTGAAACAGCAGAGCAAACAGAACTGTGGAGTGAACTTTGAGCAGAGATGAACTTTTTTTTGTGCAGGGTCTACTGTAGTTCTCACCAGAACATTGATCAGAACATACTCATATAAAGTACTTATATTTATAAACACTTTTGCTGAAAGTCAAAATAGCCTTAGATGCTGCGACTGACAAATAAAATGGTTACAGAAGTTTAAATATGCTAATGAAGTTGAGAATGGTATACGATGTGCAATTAATTCTAAGTGAATAACAGAGGAAAATTTATTAAACAAGGGAGGGCAAGGGCCTATGTAATAGGAATGGAGCATGAACACCCAGATGAGGACACAGGGTACAGATTGACACTGGGGAAGACTTACACCAAACTGTTTTGATCACTTTATAATAGTAATATAAAAATATATATACAAATATATGTGACTTTGTAATAGCCTAGGGGATGTTGTTTTGTGAAAGTATTGAGCATATATAAGTACCATGTATATGTAAGTTAGCACTTTGTCAGAAAAAGCATGTTAGGGCCATGCCTGCCTGACAGTAAACATGACTGAACCTTTGTAATGGGACTGAAGCCCGAGACTGTTCCCAGCACAACAGACACCAATCTTATATGAGGCATGTACGCATTCAGACAGTACAAATAACATTCTGTGTGTAGATGTTCTCTCCTCTACCAATGCAGCTGGCAAAACCAGTCTGAACTCAACCTTTATTTGGTACTTTGCCATTTACAAACAATTGTAAAACAATCTATCTGCTTTATCTCAAAGCACAATATAGCTGTGCTACAGCACTCTGTCTGGCACTTTCTCACCAATAAAAAAAAAGAATATTAATTCTTAATAGTTCTTAGCAGATATCTTGTAAGAAATAAATTGTTCCTCAAGAGAACATTACCTTTGTCACTTAGCCTGCTCCCACCTTGTTTAATATGTCTTACTAGATAGAAGGATTTTAAAAGAGAAAACTTAAATGCTGGTATTTTACAGCATCCTTTATGTACTGAGGAAGAAAGAATTAAGACCAATGAAGATAAAGAAATTGTATACATTTCTCTAGAGAAGTTTTAGATTTTTTTCCATACAAAATTTAACTGTACAGTTAATGTAAGTTTTGAAAAGATCAAGGTCAGCATTTTAAAATCTAATATTAAATATAAGTATTAAGTCTGCTATGTACCCATCAAGATGATTTGCTATTTTCACTTCTTATCTATTCAAAGGGGGAGAAAGAAGTAATCTGTTAATTTTTAAAGATACTACTCCCCACTACACATCTCATTTAACAGCATCTAATTTAATATTCATCAAGATGAATATGAATAGAAAAGGTATCTAAAGGATTTGGTGACACTTCTAATTGCTGACTAAAAAGACAAGAGTGGATTGAAATGTTAATTAAATTATAAATACTAAGTACAAAGTTCTGTACTTTTACATTTTATTATTGTTTTGACTGTCATTGACTGTCTAAGATTGAAAACAGACAGTAACAGAATTGAGGTTCCTGTCTGGAAATTTCAGTGCAACTCAGTCTCACAGCTTTTTCATAAATAACTGAACTTCAGAGAAAATTAATATCCAGTCAATCATTTTTAGACAATCAAAAAAGATGCATGTGACATTCTGAGACATTTAATCCACAAAAGTGGCATTTATCAATAATACATGTTGAGACAGTATTCTAAGGAGGAAAGGTGACACAGAGACTTTAAAGCTTTCGGCTCTTTAGAAGTGATTTAAAAAAAACAGCATGAAAAAAAAAAACCAGCATGGTACCAGTAGGAAGCAGTGAAATTGCACTGATTCCTGGAGACATTCCAAAAGTGGAAGATTCCCTCTCTGCAAGCAGTGATCTTTAATTGCATATCCTCTCACAAACACATGAATCCATTAAGATAAAGAAAATAATCACTTATAAGAACTCAAACTGACTGGATTTTATCCTAAAGCTAAATTTCTCAAATTCATCAAGTTCCTGTGGAAATTATTTTCTTAGCTAAAAAAGTTCAAGAACTGTTAATTTTCATTTTCAGGAAAAAAAATGGAATTAAAATGCCATGCTGTACTTCTTATTCCAGCAAAAATAATAACTGCAAATTCTGGAAGATTTAATTTCTGCTTTTACTGGGTTCTGTAGTCTGTCATTTCTGTATGTCATTAAAATGTGTGGTTTTTTCAAAACATACATGCAGTACTGAGCATACTTGTAGAATAATTTAGCATAGCTTATTATCATAGCATGTTTTACTTATAATAAAAATGTGGGTTTATATTGAATATATTCATAATTATATTCCATATTATACAGTGCATCTTGAACCTCAGTTTGCACTTACACTTGATGCTTATTTTTAAAAAAAATCAATAAATACACTAGTGAAAAAAACTGCTACATGTTTACATCTCTCTAAGTAGAAAGCATGGACAAGTCAAACCTATTAATCAAACCTGAGGAGTTTTTTGGAACTAGGTAGGATCCATATTCCATTAGTATTATCACGTATCAGTAACTAAATATATTATTTCCTCTTCAAAGTGTGCAGAATACAATGCTTGAAACGTAAGCCTCAGCTACAATTTGATATTGGTGAATAGCATTTTCCCAGGGTTTTTTTTACTGCGCTAAATCCTCCTCTGCTCTCAGATACTTTGTCTCTCTTTAGATAATACATGAGGGAGTACGTATGACATCCCTTGCTTGACTGAGTCATGAAGAAAAATGGGAATCATACTTAAAAATAAGTGGATTACACTACTGATTCCTTGCTGAAACACTTTTTTCCCCAAATGTTACTTCTGTGTTTAAAATATTTTGCAAAGACCAACCTATTCTCAATTATAACCGAGACTTATTTTAGGCAGAAAGACAGTTCTTCTGGCCTGTGTAGAAACAGCACTTTTTCACATTAACAAGGAGCTGGGAATGCTAAACAACAACAACAAAAAAAGAAAGATTCTAAGAAATACCTGAAATAATGTAATTCTTAATATTTTTGATCATTTGTACATGGTCAATATAGAACAGTTAAAGCATAAATATTTCTAAAGGCGAGAAATAAGAAGGGTAATAAATTTTCAAATAGACCCTAAATTTTTAGCCATGGCCCAACTTCAAAACCAAAGGGTAAACAAAATTAATACCTTTTGATGATTTTTCAGATGGCCTGTAATTGAGGGCACACGGGAATCCAGTTCTGACAACCATTACAGTTCTTAGCAGAACAAAGAGTACAGGATATAAAAGGCTTTTGTTTGGACATAGTCTTTAGGAGCCAGAATCAAACTAGGCTGATGCAGTACTTCACATCTGGTGTGTGAACAATTGTCTCTTTTCTAGTCAATACAAAGCAGCAAGTCCAGGGAAGGCAGAGAGGCCACCCCAGCTGCTACGGCTCCTGCCAGGTCTCAGCTCTACCAGGGGCCGGGACGGTTCTTCAGGAGCGTGGATGTACTAACGGCAACGATGGGGCCAGAGACACGGGGGGAATCACCTGCCGTTAACGTATAACGGTGCCACGAAGAGCTCCCAACGGACGCTATCCCCAACGGGATAAACGCGGCCCTGTCTCGCATAAAACGGGGGCAGCCACAAGTTACAGGGAAATGACGCTCTTTTTGCCAGGACCGGGGTTATCAGCCAACCCCAACCTCATCAGCGCAGTACCGCACCAGTCCCTGCCGGTGCCCGTCCATGCCCGCCCCTGCGGCCCGGCAGCGCCGGCCTCAGAGTCGCCGACCGCCGCCATCGCCTCCGCCCCTCGCCCCGCCCACCAGCGGAAGGGCAGCGTCGCCAGCGTCGCCACTGAGCATGCCCAGGCCGCCCGCGTATGCGCACTGCGACGGCTCGGTTCATTCTAAGGGAGGACTAATTCTGGCAGGACAGGCAGGACGGTGCAAAGGGCTTCCCCTCCTCTCACAGCGCGGCCGTGGGGCCCGACCACGGGATGTGGCGCTCTCCAGCGCTGCCACCTCTCCGTAACCGGCGAAGAGCTAGTCCCCCCCTTAGCGCTCCCTCCGAACAGCGCGCACCCACCTGCAGCCAACACCAGCAGCTCGCTGACCAGTCTGGCCCACCCTCCGCAGCAGCATCGCCAGCAGATTGGCTCCTTCCGGTGTCATTCTCCCGCTTCTTGCACTCGGAATGGTTTCCCCGGCCGTCAATCCAGGTGAAAGCCCGCCCATCCTCCCGAGTGGGTTCCTCTCTGGGCTCGCTGACGACACCGCGGGTGTA